TCCAGAGCGAATGCGGCGTTGCTGAAAATCTAGATTTTGTATGAGGGCATCGGAATTTTGGTGATGCACTAGGTGGGGCTATGCATTAGGTGGTCCTGCATGGTATGGTACGGATAACTTTGGAGTCACTTCTGGAGATAATGAGCGGAGGTATCAAAAGCTTCGCCTGTAAGCGAGTGTAATATTTGATGCCTGTATCTTAGCTGGAGATTTCACCGGATTCCAAACCAATCATGAAAGGCAGCTATAGATAGTTGTATAAAAACTTCAACGATGAGAATGAAGCCAAGATGAGAAACTGTGAGTCCCTTCACAGAATCCCCTCTGCAACTCAATCTATCGAGGAGTCGTGGTTGTTTAAGAGTACGTCCTATAGGATAGGACATGTGTAGAACGGTACGATTGGTGTCAAACGGGGCCTTCTCTGATACGGAAGCAAGCCATGGAACGATCGATAGCGACAGGACTGCAGCATTCTGCGATGCGATTCAAAATTCGACCACGATAGGAGCTGTCGCATCCCGTCTTTGGTGACAACAATTCCAGTCGGACATCAATGAGAGTTTGGAACTTCAGCTGTCGTCACTCGTGCAATGATGGCGCTCTGAGTCTAGATCTTCGACCAGCGCAGAAGCACCGCGGCAGCAATGACTGGCAGCACGCTTACCAACTCTCCCAGTCCCGCAAACTCTGGAGGAATCCTCGCGTTGACAAAGGCACCGGCAGCAAGAAGAACTGCGAAGGTGTTGTACACGAAACTCCACCCAAAGTTGAACTTGATGCGGTTGACGGATTTCCGACTCGCGTTCATCATGGTCAGAATACCAGCCAGGGAAGGACGCATGAGAACAACATCCGCAGCGGATTGCGCGACATCTGTGCCTTCGTTCATATGGACGCCGATAGTAGCCTGCGCGAGAGCAACGGCATCATTCGTGCCGTCGCCGCAGAAAACGACAACCGGCTTCTTGCGTTCTGTGGCAGTACCGAGGAGAGTCTGGATGTAATCCTTCTTGTCGGCAGGCGAGCTTCGAGAGCGCACATTGTCACCAGGAATGCTAAGCTTGGATGCCAAGGTGCGAACGGCTCCGTCATCGTCGCCAGAAACCACATGTACCGAGACACCACGCTTCTGCAAGGTTTCAACCGTTTCCGCAGCATCAGGTCGAAGTTCGTCCTCAAGTCCATAGACCGCCTTTAGCTCATTGTCGATCGTGAAGCAGAACACAGTGCAGCCTTGAACAAGCATCGGCTGGACGAGTTCATGGTCCGACAGATTCAGCCAGCGAGAGTTGCCAGCTCGAAGTTTCTGATCGCCTAGGGTGGTTTCGACACCTTTACCAGTCAAACTCTTCGGCTCGGGAACAGTCGAAGTCATGATTCCGATGTCCTTGAGGTGGGCAGCTACAGCAACCGAAACCGGGTGTCGACTGTTTTCAACCAGACCCAGAAGAAGCGGAAGTTTGTCCTCGTCGACGCACTCGTTTCCAACAACGGAGAGCTTTCCTCGAGTCAAAGTTCCCGTCTTGTCAAACACGACGTGCGAAGTCTTATGGGCGACTTCAATAGCGTCCGCGGACTTGAAGATGATACCCCGTTCCGCCGCAACTCCGCTGGCAATCACAATGACCATCGGAACAGCCAATCCAATTGCACATGGGCAAGAGACAATGAGAACAGTGATGGCGTAGGTGATGGCCTGAATGGTAGCTTCAGATCCTCCATAACCACGGACAGTCATGCCCACTGCGACCCAGATGACGAACGTAATGATCGTCAATGCCACCACCACAGGGACAAAGTAGGATGCTACCCGATCTGCCAGGTCCTGTAACTTGGGCTTCGACAGCTTGGCCTCGTCAACCATCGCAGCAATGGCGTGGATGGTATTGTCACCAGGCAGACGGTTCAGCCGAACAGTCATGACTCCAGGTCCATTGATAGATCCAGCAATCACCACCGATTTGGGATACTTCTCCACCGGCCTGGATTCACCCGTGAGCATAGACTCGTCGACCTCAGAAGACCCGGTGACAACGGTGCCATCGGTCGGAATCCTCGTGTCTGGAAGAACCTTGAATGTGTCGCCATATTGAAGAAGTCGGGCGTCGATCTCACGTTCCGTTCCACTTTCTTTGTCGACAAGGATGGCTGTCGATGCCTGGAGTGACCGGATAGAAATGGACTCAACAGCTCTCTGACGAGCGAGAGCTGCAACCCATCGGCCGACCATGATTAGAGTGACCAAGAGAGTGCTCGTTTCGAAGAATTGTCCAGTCGAAAGGGGTTTCCCTGCGATGAAGTACCCAAAAGAGACCACAGAGAAGATGTAGGCAGCACTGGTGCTCAAGACGATCAAGAGATCCATCTCGATAACTCTGGAGAAAACAAGCGCCTTCAGAGCCTTAGGGTAGAAAGGTCCTGCGATAACAAATTGAACGATGGTTGCCAACGCGAGTGAAGCCGAGGAATAGGCCAACTCCCGCTCGGGAAGAGGAGCCCATGCCATGACAAGAACAGGAATCGCCAAGACAGCGGAGAGAAGCGTCATGTATCCAACATGACGAACATGCTTGCTGCCAGCCTCCAGCGAAGGATCGCCACGAGGGGGAGCAAGTTCAATGGGTGGACCCCAGATCTTCTCGGTGAGGTCTCGGGCTCCCACAATCTTCGAATCAAACGCGACTCGTACGGTCTGCTTGTCCACAAGCGCCATATCAATGACACCTTCCGGCCATGTCTGACTCATGAATTTTGAGGGCTCATGGGGGACGATAAGATCCAGGCTTGATCCCTGGTTCTGTACTCTTTCGCACTTGAATTCGGTGGTTCGCTCCAGATGTTTCACGACTTCTTCCACCGAGCCCAGGCGAAGGTCGATGTTGAACTCAGCTCGTGAGAGAACTAGGCTCGTCTTCAGGTCTTTGACAGCGGGAACTGTAGCGAGAGTTCGATTGAGCTTTGTCTCGCAGCCAGTACAAGTCATGCCGGAAATGCTGAGAACAACATGCTCCTTGCCGGTACCCTGGTTCTCTATGTCGGTGATAGCCTGAATCGGGGCCTTCTCAACCTCCAACCTGTGATCAGGCGCAGCAGAGGAGCAGCAGGCATCAGCGCAAGAGCCCTGAGAGCTGACCGGTCGCTTTTCCGAGCAGCAAGAGTCCGCACAACTAGTCTTTGGTGCCTTGACGATATCCTGCTTGGGTGGCTTGCAGCAAGAACCAGCGCAAGCGGCATCGAGGGTCTCTTTGACAACCGCAATCTTGTCTGTCCCGCAACAAGATCCTGTACATCCACTAGGTGGAGGTTCAACAACGGGCTTGACTTTCGAATAGCATGAATTCGCAGAGATGCTCTTGGTATCATTGTCGTTGACACGCTTGTCTCCGGGGCAACAAGATCCGGGGCAGCCGACCTTGGGAGGGGATTCTTCGAAACGCTCAGTCTCGGAGCAGCAAGAGTCAAGGCGTCCAGTGTCGGCGACAGGCGGCTTGGTAGGCTTGTCAGGGGAGCAGCACGATTTGGCACAATTGTGCTTGATGGATGGAGCCTTGGCAAGTTTCCCCTCTGAGCAGCAAGACTTGAAGCATTTGCCCTTGATGGAAGGCTCTTTGGCGGGCTTGTCCTTGGAGCAACAAGAGCGTGCGCAGGCAACCGTAGGTGACTTCTTGATAGATTTGACGCTTTCGCCAGAGCCCTTGTACAGACGAAGGCGGTTCTGCGCAGCCTGGTCCTGTGTGACGGAGCCGCTGCTGCTGCAGGAATCCAGCGAAGTGCGAAGAAGGGAGCGAGCAGACGACTTCTTGGAGCACTGCTTCCCGTCCAGCGAATGGCGCTCGCGAATTTCACAGCACGTTTCCTGGCCGAGAGAAATGAGAGCACGGCAGATGCATCCCAGAGCCTGGAGAGTGGCGCCATAGCGGTCGAGGGCGGAGTTGCTATGCTGGCTGCATGCCTTGCCGTCGGCAGCTCCACTGCAAGCTGAGACGAGTTAGCAATCTCGAATGTCTTTCTGTAAGCGTGACTACTCACTCTTTATCTGGGCGTTTGCTCCGGGGGCAGCGACAGCACTCATCTCGCATTCCCGCATAGCCAAGCGGTCAAGGCAAGACGTGTCGCAACATGGGCCTACCTTGCCACGGCAGCAATCAGGCGCGTCGGTATCATCCTTGGCTTTCTCGTCCGCGCATTTGCCAGAGGAGCAGCAATCGTCCGGTTTCTCCTGGTTGGGCTCTCCCTGACCCGGGTCCTTGGTCTCGAGAGGCTCGACGTCGCTGTCACCGCTATCGCAGCAAGAATCCTGACAACTGCTCGTCTCCTCAATTGGAGCCGCGATTGGTGCAGCAACCGGCTCAGTGGCTGGAGCCGGTGGACCGCAACAGTCGCATCCCATTGTTGAAGTAATTTTTTGCTTTTCAGGTCGAATTTCGTGAGTTGGGGTTGAGATGGTGTTGGAAATTGTTGAAGGTTCAAGAATTCTGTTCGCCTGTCGAGACCGGTCTCGGGATACCTAGTCAGCGCCGCGCTGTCACGTGAATGGCTCGACTACCCCCCTGGTCAGTGGTGGCCCGGAGCACCGTGGCCCTTTCCTACGTCCGTGCCCGAGTCGGCATGTGGGTCCTCCGAGGGACTAACAGGCGCTAATTTGATTGCCAGCAAGATCCAATACTTCTAAAATTATCTCCCAGAGTCCCGTTCAGGTTCATGCCACCGTGTCCTACTCAGGAATGACGCAACACACACAGATGCAGAAGGTCGAACAGGTTGCTTGTCCGGGTCCTCGCGCTCCCCCAAATCTCCTTTTCCCCCCGCTACCTTCCTAGCTCTCCGCTGTAATGATGCATCTTGACATCGAGTGGTTGCAACGCGAGATTGCGGTTTCATCGGATACCAACGAGGTCCAAATTCCAGCCCCTCTTTACTTCTCTGGGACTCGTTTACATCTAACACGAAACTAGATTGCGTGTCGTATGTGCATGATTTCCGAAATATCGCACGCTAACAAGACTGATCCTCGAATCCGCACTGACCTAGCCCCGACATTCCAGCCAGCATCAGTACCAGTCGGTTACTCGACCCCAGCGCCAACACCACCCGAAGCCATCGATCCGAGGCCATTATCGTCGCGCGAGCAAACGCCTTGCTATCGACCGACTACCGAACCCAATAGCCCACCCCTTCAAGCGCAAGAATAGGTAGGGGATAAGCATGACCTGCAGCGCGATGTTCCTCGTCTGAGGCGAACAAGGTCGAATAAGGTCGACTCGGATTACACACAGCAGCCGACTGAGCTGTCTTGGTTGCCACCTAGCCTGCGAGAGGTCATTCAAAGAGGGAGGACTCTTGCGGACCTTCAAAATGCGTGGGACCTGTGCTTTGCGCTGAGGGAGCAACCTCTCCTGGTCTATGCCGGCGCAAGCCCGACTCTGGAAGAGCAGCGGCAAGCCTATGTACAATACGAGCGGATAGAAGCAAACGTTATGTGTATTTTTCGTCCGGGGGGCCATCGGCCCCGAAAGTCCCCTACTGGGGCACAGGATGTGCTGGGCTAGAGAAGTCGGAATCTATCTACACGCTAATTACAGAGATGCTATTGGACATAAAGGTTTAGTCATTCGCGACGCGAAATTAGTCTTCCCCTCAGAATACAATTTCTGCAAACGCGTCAGTGAACCGCACTCGATCCAGCATATCATCGGCACAAATGGCGCATTTTATCGAGCCTGTTACCCGTCAGCGGGATGACAAGGCGCGGCTGGCATATCGCAGTCGCTTATGGAGCCTGGTGTTAGGAGGGCTGGGATCAGCCTGTGCATGCGGCAGCCCGAGACTGCCTCAAGGTGGTCACGACCAGATGGAGGGCGTGGTAACGCCCTTCATCTGGTCGAGAACAGGTAAGAGAAAGATAAAGAGAGAAAGAAAAGGTCTACAAAAGAGATGTGAGAAGAGAAGGAATGAGAGTCGCAAGTGCTTCTCTGGTCGTCGTCGCCTAATGACGAGGGCAGATCTTTCCAAAGAACGCGCTGTTCTTGGACAGGTCGATGAATCTGGTGAAGTCTTTTCCTACTGCTAGATTGACTGCTGCGTTCGGTGAGGGTGTCAGCCTCATCCGATGACGTGGCGGTACCTTTCTGCAGTAGAAGATGTGATCCGGTGCTTTGCGTCGGCCACATGAGCAAAGTAGGCGTGCATCGTCGTGGTCGAATCTCTCGTGGTACGCGGCGAAGTCCCCGTGGAGGGATCTCGCTGCCAGGAGGTGGTGCAACGCTGCACGCGGGAGCGACAGCTCCGGCGAACAGCCTGTAGTCGCCTTGAGATTGAGTCTTTTGTACTGCTCAGGAGCGGAGGCGGACCACCACGCCTGGAACGCTTCTTTCGGCTTCTGTCTTGCGATTCTTCGTAGGTAAGCCAGCGTCGGTTGAGCACCTTCGGGCTCGGGGAGCGATGACGCTGCCTTTGCCAGCTTGTCGGCCTGTTCGTTGCCAGGGATGTTGGAGTGCCCTGGCACCCAGCGAACTTGGATGGCTCCATGCGATGTCGTCAGAGCTTGGAACTCGAGAAAGACTTTTTGAGAGGATTCAGAAGGAGTGCCTCGTAGACACGTGGCGGCTGCCAGGTTATCTAGGCAGATGAATATATTCTGTGTTGCTAATTCTCGCAGGTTTAGAGCAGCCTTCAGGCCCTCTAAGGCCCCGGTAGCTTCATCATCGAAAACCTCAGCAGGTCCGAGGCGACCTGATCCGTCAAAGATGGGGATATTGTTCTGATGGATGGTGAAGCCATAGCTGGCAGCCCCTTCTGAGGAAAGAGAGCCATCCGAGTATACGACCAAGGTGAGCGGGTCGAGAGACTCGACCCAACGGGAAAAGGCGTCAGCCGATTTCTCTTTAGACGCTGTCTGCAGTGGAGGCATCTGTTCTTGATGGAAGCATCGATAGACGAGTTTCGGCCACGTGCAGGGTGCAAAGAGTTCGTTTGCACGTCGAAGGCGCGTCCTGAAGCTGCTCTCTGCCTGTATTTGATATCTTCGTTTGATGAGGTCGTGGTAAGTAGGCTGTCGGGGCGGGCGCGTTCGGATCGCCAGAGGATGAGCCTCATCCAGCGATTTGAGTCGTGCGGAGAACCTAAGTCGCCTCGCGTCAAGCAATTGATCGACTGGTGGTATCCCGCTTTCTCTGTGGAGGACGGTGATGGGTGTCGTCTTCCAGACGGGAAGAATGGCCTTCATAGCCTGTTTCATGGCTTTTGTCATTATTTGCACGAGATGCTGGTTACTCGATGGTAGATCTTTCGTAGGATGGGTCCACCGCGGCCTGGTCTTGCCCGGGTACCACGCCTCTGAGCCGTGGAGCAGCACTGGCTCGACACATGCTCTGACGGCGCCTCGCACGGCGCTCGGTAGAGGGCCGTGTACCGTGTTGGTGAGCCCCCGCAAATGATAAGCCACTGCCTTTGCTTTGGCCGCCCACTTTTCGACATGAAGTCGAAAAGATAGTCTGCTATCCAACCAGACACCAAGCCAGCGTAGAGCTGGTTCAGGGTATTTCTCGACATCGCCGTGGCGTACTGCCGGCGCAGTCCTGAGTTTGCTGCGGGAGAAATACATGACTTCGGTCTTCTTCGTGTCGAAGGACACGCCATTCTCCGCGCCCCATCGCACCATCTCGGCGATGGAACTAGATGCCATGGCAGAAGTCTCGTCTACTGTGTCGCCTATGGACAGGATGGCCGTGTCGTCTGCATAGCCGAAGCGACCCTGAGGTTTCCCTAATCGATAGATTGGCTCAGTGTAAAGCAGAAAGAGGATTGGCGATACCGGCGACCCCTGAGGGAGGCCGCACTGAAGGGGAGAAGAGGGCGTGACTGTATCTTGGTACCTGACACGCGCCGACCGGCCGCCCATGAAGGAGCCGGCCCAGCGAGTCAGATGATTAGGCCAGCCTTGCTCACGAAGACGCAGGATGAGCCTGTTGCGCATAACGGTGTCGAAAGCACCTTGGACGTCCATTGTGACTAGAGTTGCCACCTTCTTGCGTGCAAACGCTTCTTCAATATCATGGACCAGAGCAGTTACCAAGTCTGTTGCCGACCTCTTGGGGAGCGCCCCAGCTTGCTGCGGATGAAGGACGCTGTAGTGAACGGCTGCCCAGGCTAGGCGGCGCGCGATCAGTCGTTCTAGTCCCTTACCAAGACAGGAGAGCAGTGAGATGGGTCGCCATGCTCGTGGCTCTGTGAGGTCTCTCCGTCCCGGTTTCGCGATCATGACCACCTCCGCCTCCTTGAATGGTTTTGGATGATGGCCTATGGTAAGGCATCTTTCGAAGAGACGACGGACGTGTGTACCGATGGTATGCCATACTGCTTCAAGAAGTTTGACTGTGATGTTGTCTGACCCTGGGGATGTATTGCCTGTGTGACAAGTCGCATATTGCGCCTCTTCCAGAGAGATTTCGGGAGAGAATGGGATCGATCTAGGTGGGAATACTGGCGTCCATGCGTTTGCGATGTCGTCCTCCGCAGTTCTTCGTTCAAGCGTGGCCTGTCGGAGTGCGTTGGCTTTATCCATCTGGCTTTCGTACACGACGTTATCGACCTGTAGAGGTGGCGGCTGGAAGGCTCCTGGGGACTTTAGCCACCGGACAGCTTTGAAAACATCACTACTGCTGGAGAAGCCATCGATGAGGTTACGCCAATAGCGCCTCTTGGCCCGACGGACCACACGATGAAAGCCTCTTTTGGCGATCTGAACGTCCTGGTTGAAGCCGAGCAGGTAGCTTCTTCTGATGGCTCGAAAAGCAGCCGCGGCGTCGGCGCACTCCTCCGTCCACCAGGGAGCCGGACGTCCGCCTTTCCGTGCGGGCCTCCCAGACGCTTTTGCTGCTGATGTTAGTAGACTCACAAGTGAAGAGGCAAGCTCGTCCAGCTCCTCGGGGGTCGAATCTGTCAGGGGTATTCCTGTAGCGCCAAGCTCCACGATCTCGACGAATCGTTTAAGCTCGTCTTCCGTCGTCACTCGAATCTTGCCTGGCTGCACCGGAGTCGATCTGACGTCTGGGAAAGTCAGGCTGAGCGTGAAGTGGTCAGAGCTGGTGGCGAGATGGTCCTCGACGATAGCTTCAGCAAGTGGTAGGTTAGTAAAGGCAAGATCGATTGTGTTGCCGTACGGGTTTGTTGGGATATCTAAAGTGTTGAGAAGGCTGAGGTCATTCTCAGACACCCATCCTGCTATCTCTTGGCCCCGGTTCGTAGTTTGGCCTGGTTGCCAGCTACGATGTCTGGCATTGAAATCGCCAGCTACGAGGCAACGTTCCGGGACAGACCATTGAAATAGCGTGTCTAGGGCGTCCCTCTCGTCGTTCTGACGATAGAAGTTGACGATCGTCAGGTCGTTGATTGTGAGCCAAAGGATATCACGAGTCTGAAAAGGCCGAATCTGGTCAGCAAGATGTCTTGGGTCTCGTCGGACATATGTCATCACTCTAGGCCGAGTGTCGTTGCTGTTCCACATGTCGACCGGCGTAAATGTGTCGTATGCAGGGTGAGTCTTAGTTAAAGTGCGGGTCTCTGTGTGAGCCGTCCACGGCTCTTGCAAGAGCACAACGTCATATTGTTCCGAGTCGGCCAGCGCCAGGGCGCAGTCGTGGGCCGGAGGGATCTTGCCGACGTTGGCCTGGAAGATCCTGAGCGGCTTCCTGTCGTTCTTTCGTGTTTGAGAATATCTATTCCTGGCCATGCGAGCGATTAATGAGAACTATTCGGCGCTTTCGCGGTGAGCCTGGTCTGGGCTGTTCGGGTTCTTCTTCTGCTTCATAGCTAGCATGAGGGGTCGTGGCCACCATGATGCACGAACGTGCTCCTGATACAGCTGGGCTTGGAGCACGAGCGTTCGGTCGTTCTTGTGATGGGACATCCTCGTTTTGTCGCTCAGCCATGCCCTGCTGGGCTTCCTGATGCGATCCCGACTGTGGTTCTTGGTGTCGTTGTCGGTATGTCTCCGCACCAACGGCCCTGACATGTTTTCGTTGCTCTTTAGTCAGTCGGCGGAGCACGCCGTGCACTGTCTTTGGCCGAGCTGGGCACCTACGAAAGTTGGCCTGGTGGGGGCCCAAGCAGTTGACGCACTGTTCTGGTGCGATGCAATCGTCTACGAGGTGGCCGGTCTCACCACAGCGTCGGCAAACTGGCTGTCTGTGACAGTTGCGGGCAAAATGGTGGCCCCAGCACTTCTCACATTGTCTAGGTCGGTCGGTTTTGTCAACAAGTCTAGCTGCGCTACTGCCGAAAAGAGACCAGAATCTTTTTGTGGGCTTCAGAAAGGACACAAGTAGGGCCTTGGTCAAGGGGTCATCCGATAATTGTCTTCCGGTACGTACGTCAATGGGCTTGAGCCCAGTCTGGATTTCTATCTCGTCGCTAACGACGGTGTCACTATCCACCTCATTACCGTAAAAGTCAGTCAGCCTTGCAGGAACGTCTGAGACCACATAGGTGAACCATTCCTTGTTCGTTTCTACTGCTGTAGCTCCCAGTTCAGCGGCCCACTCAGCTTGCTTATCTACCAGAAAGTCGCGTGTGACAGAGTCGGCGGCCAGAACGGCCCATCCCGATCTGACCGGGAACACCTGTCGAATTTTGTCCGAGACGGCGCCGAGTTTTTCCCGGATCAGAGTCCGGATGGCATAGCTACTGTGGGCCCTGGCCGGAGCTCCGGCTTTTAGACGGATGAAGACACGGAGGTCTTGTCGGGGTGGGGCGATAGTCGTCTGTTGCCCTTGGCGATGAGGTGGATCTGTTTGTCGGCGTCCATGTTGTTGTTGTTGTTGTCTGTGGGTCAGACGGTCATGGTCAGTGGGAGGCGCGGCAGCGGCCACGCTGCTGTATGTAGGCTTTGGGATCGCAGGTCCGGAGCAGGAGAGCTCTCGTTTCCAAAAACCGAGGAAATCATCGGCAAATTGCTGGGCGAAACGTCGTTGCGGTCCGGTGACGAATTGCTGGGCCGCTTCTTCAAATTTGGCACAAAAGGCCTGGAAAACCCCCAGCTTGATGTTGTACTCTTCCACGTGTTCTCGCGCGAGATCGTTGGCTGATTCAACGATAGAGATTGGTCGTTGTTCAAAAATGGATGCGGGACTGGCACGCTCAGCTCCTTCCGTAACTGCGGCGATGGTGGCGGGGTTGAGTGGTGAGGATGGTGTCTGGGCCATCCGGCCGGGACCGGTTGAAACACCAATGGTGCCGTTGACGGCTGCCGGACTGTTCTGCAAGAGGGCTGCACGGGCTCCCCGGTTCAGGTTGACGGGAGTGTGGATCCCCAGATCGAAGGGATCCAAGGCAGCGGGCGGGATCGTCGTAGACGAGGCCATCGCCGCGGTTTGCGACTGCGCAAAGCGCAGATTGGAATGTTTGTTGTGCACTTGTTAAGGATTTAGGTGTAGACAGGGCCACTTTCTTAACACTTGTATGCCAAGAAAGTGTGATGACAAAGGAAGGTGAGTAGACGATAGTAATGAATGTTGTTGCTTAGGTCTAGGGTAGCCAAGTTGTTAAACTCTACAGGGGTCAGCCGACGGAAACGCGACGCGTTTCGTGTTTTAGGTTTTCTAATTTCATGAGTGCCGTACGAGAAACGCAGTGCGTTTCCGTCGGGAAAAATATGGGGCGAAAATGCTAGACGATGATTGGCCAAAAACAGGAAACGCAATGCGTTTCTGCTGATAATTCTTGAGTTGGACGTGTATGTCGTTCAAAGTGGTCGAAGTAATCCTGCGCGGTGACATCGTCGATATAGCCTTTTGGTGTTGTGGCGATCGTTGCCTCTCCTTCGAGGCCGTTGTCAACCCACCGGGACGGAATCTGTACACCGGGCATGATGATAAACGGTGGAATAACCTGTCCTTTTGCAGATATTGACTCGACGATCGTGACACTTATTGTCTCGTGTGCGTCGGTCAAAACGGGCTCCTCAACTTCCCCAAAAGTCCATAGGAAGATACCGTTCTTTAGATAACCGATCTGGAAGCCTGTCTCATCGCCATTCCATACATTTTCAAAGTCTACGTCATTTTCTTCGTTCTCAGTAATGATATTTGTTGAATGTTGGAGGGTTCACCCTCAACTTCAGGATTAAGGTTCAGGATTAAAGTTTGAAGCCCTAAACTTAGATCGTAGGACTTTCATCTAGGACTTTCTAGGACTCAAGTCCTAGAAGGAACTAGTCGAAGATATAAGGTCTCAATAGTCCTTCGATTGCGACAGAATCAAAAAAATATACACGATTCACCTTAATATCTGACAATATTCCACTTCCTGAGCCATTCTTGGATATTTCCTCGGTCTGACATAGCTTTACGTTGTGCTGAGAGAGTCTGAGACTTCCTTTTATGAAAGAACTGTAAATAACGTCGTAGAAAACGTCGTGCCCAGTATCGTGAAGCTGTGGCATCACGATCTGTAGCCTTGAGTGCGGAATTGGCATACTGACGAAGCGTACGTTGTTGTATATGATGTCCCTGAGTGACGCGGCGCCAGCACCAAGTAAGAATAGCTTGTTCTTCTTCCTTAGAGAATAAGGTATAATTCCCACCATTCTGAGTAACTGGATGGCTTCCTCTATGTCGTGACCATAGTCTTTTATATGGAACTCTCCATTCTCTGCTTGCTATGGCGAGAGAAGTGTAAAATCCTTCCCTAAAGAGCTCAACAGCCGCAACAGTGCGTTGTTCAAGGTTGTACGAGGTAAACCGTGAAATGTTAGGTTTTCCAGTCACCGCATTAATCCATCTTTGTACTGCAGTAAGAGTAGGTTCTGGGCTTTCGAATGATGTATTCATCGTGAGATTTGGTTCATAATTGATGCCTCTGTGACTGAGTGTTGTGATATTATTCTTGGTGTTGTGGTGGTTGACCCGTTGTTGCGCTATGACGTTGGTGGGGGTAATAACCTATCACGGGCGTCATCGGTGCAGAAAACGGGGACTATGCCAATGGCCGAGTGACTTAATTTTCTCATACTAACCCCGCAAAAATTGAGGTACCTAAAGATTTTCCCTGTCGGCCGACCCTTTTCCCTGTCACCCTACCTCCCGTGCTTGACTCACGGGCACCTACGGTGGAAAGGAAAGCACGGGAGGCCGATCTCTAGGCCTTACCAAGTAATCGATCAGCATTTTCGCCGACACAGAAAAGGTTAGACTACCATCCCCCACCACTTAAAGAATCACACCACTTAAAGCATAGCACAAACAACATCGCCCCATACAAACCCTACCATTTTATTTGCATCGCATTTTGGCACAATGAAGCTATTCGCGAAAGAAGAAAAAAACTTGTGGTGCATTTTTTTTTTACGTGGTGTCTTACCCTAGGTCGTTTTACTTCCGACTTTGTACGTATCATGGGGGTTTCAAGACATTGACAGCGGTGGAAGAACAGGTCATCTAGCGTCGATGAGGACGCGAAAGTAGTGGATCGCGGCGCTGGGCCGGGTAACGAAGGTCTAGATTCGGACCGCAAGACCTTTCTCCGAGCAACAAGCCCATTGCTATAGCTGCCTTACGTTGTTTTGGAATCCAGAACATGTTTGTGTAACCTTTATGGCTTGAGTCTGCATGTTGAACTCGCCAACAATAGCTTAAATGGTTGAAGTATGGTGGACGGTGTCGAGTGATTGCATCATTTTCTCATCATCTTCTATGGTAAAGAGTGCCAGCGGCTCATTGCAAGGCGAGCTTGGAAGCTACCGGTAGCACCAAATAGGTTTGTGTTTAGGGCAGCCCGTAGGTTTACACCAAATGTTAACGTATATTCCTGATAACGGGTACATATGTTGTATTCGTCAACTAGTGCACTTACTCAGAGAAAAATGCACACAAGGCTATCTAGTCTACATTGATACAGACCTTGCCAACATGCTGGCCAGAAACCAGGTACTCATATGCATTTCGAACACCTTCAAGGGTGAATGGGAACTCCTTCTCGACTGGAAGTTTTAGCTGTCGCTGAGAGACGAACCTAACCGCTTCTTCCAGGAGCTGTTTAGACCCGACCATGATGCCACGGACAACTGCGCCCTTGGAGAGAGCAAGGCCGGCAACATCAGGCATCTCCTCTTGCGACGCTTGAGCCAAGAAACCGATTACGTTGATAATACCACCGTAAGCGATTGCTTTGATACTTTGGGCAATTGTACCAGAGCCGCCGTTCTCCATGATGTAGTCGACGCCCTTCCCTCCAGTTAACTCCAGAGCTTTGGCTGCCCAATCGGGTGTGCTCTTGTAGTTGATTCCGTGGTCGGCTCCGAACTTGGATTTAGCGAGCGCCAGCTTGTCGTCACTGGAAGATGTAATGATCACCGTAGCGCCTGCTGCTTTCGCTAGGATTGTAGCAGTGATCGAGACACCACCGGTTCCTAGGACGCATTAGCATGTAGTTGGCGAAGCGATGGAAGAGATTCAGCACCTTGACACAATACGACTTGCCCTGGGCGCAAAGGTAGGTTTCCATAGAAAGCATTCCACACCGTGACACCCGTGCAGACCACAGACGCCCATTGAGAATAGGTTTGAGGAGAATCAGAAGGGACCTTGACGATGGCTGAGGCTGGCAATACTGCATATTGACGAAGTACACCATCGATAGGGCCGCCTTGTCCATAGTTCCAGTCGCGTTGCGGACCGTAGAGGTTGGTGATATCGAATGATGCGACGACTTTGTCTCCTACACTCAGCTCTTGAACGCTTTCGCCGATCTCGGCGATGTCGCCAGCCATGTCGGAACATGGCACCACGTTGTCTGCAACTGGGAATGGATATTTCGACGTGGCAATGGCGATGTCGCGAAAGTTCAAAGAAACACTGCGGACCTTGATAAGAACCTCGTGCTTCGTGATCTTGGGGACGTCTTCTCGTTGCTGATAAAGACCGTCGAATCCCTTCCGATGTTTCAAACGGAAGACGGTGTGCTGACCTGCCATGATGCGGAGTTGAAATTGCAATAAGCCTTATTGGGATTCTTGGTCCGATGGTTGAGGATGTCTGAGATGGAACGAAAAAGTAAGACAACGCGACTTATCTCTTTGAGTGGCATAAGACTTCAAGACGGTCACGACCGGGGTGTAGGGCCAATCAAAATGAGCGCGACGACCGGTACCTCCACACATACCTAAAGTAGCGTGTGATAGAAGTACCAACAGTCAGCATTGTTACATATCGCTACATCACATACTTTACAACCGTACCTGCTCTGCAGGCCTCGTGCATTTCCTGATATAGGCTGTAGATAACCTCCTTTTGCCCTGTTTTTTTTAGCCGGCCGAGGCTGCCCTTGCCTTAAGCCTTTACAGGCTAGGCAGGGGGAAAGACAGCCTCGATTGACATGATTAATATCTCTTTGTAGGTGAATTTGCCGTGCTTCTATATCTTCGATGTCTTCTTCCTTCCCTGATCGGTATCTCTTCCTTATGCCGCTTTCAGCTGCATAGCGGTTAAAAATGGCGTTGCAAATGCACTCCTTCCAAGCTTGCAGCGTGCTATAGGGCTTCCAACGAGGGTGCCGGGTCTTCTTCTGCAAAATGAAGCTATTCGCAAGTGCGACTTCAAGGAGGAAGCTCTAAAGCAACGCCTGCCACGGACCGCGGCGGAATCGATGCTCGTACGTTGTATAGGACCTTATCTGATCACCGCGGTTAACGTGATTCATTTCATCGTTATACTGAGCGGCAACAGTAGGTATAGGGATCATCTTGAAGCTATCCCCGTTGAAAATCTGCTGCAGCTGTTGTGCCTTTGCCTTCGTGCCTCTCTTAGCCGGCAGCTTCCTCTTTTTTAGTGTGCGGTCGTGAGAGGCGCCGCTATGTACAGTTGAAAGGAAGAGCACCACTCCGCTATCCTTCCAAGCGATTTGGATGACCTAGGGGGAATAAAAAGGGACAAATTAGTAAGGGAAATACAGCTAAAGGTCATCTATACCTGTTGGTCTTCCGTCGGGATCAGTATGACCTCGTTATACTTCAAAGGCATGCCGTCAGAAGCCTTCCCGGTCTCTTTTATCTGCCTCATCTCGGTGGTAATGCCGCAGTTAGGGCGTGCCGTGCCTGTGGCACCAAAGCCAAGCTGCCGAAGAAGGCGGAAGAGCTGCGGTGATGAGAAGAGGTTATCTGTGAAGACGTGATATGTCTGAGGTATCAGCCTTTTTACTAGGTGAACAACGACGCTCTGAGTATTGCTGAGAGGGATCTCAGTCCGTAGCTTTCCTCTCTTGCCGTGCGGCTTCAGCGTAGGTAGGTTGATAATAACAGCGTTATATGGTGATGACTTCATGTGCCAAAGCCACCGCAGAAAGAAGCCCTGTTGGGCGATAACCCAGACTTTGAAGCCTACTGGCGTAGGCTTTCCCTTGACAAGCGTTGTCTCTTTCGATCTGCCTGTAAACGTGTTGAGACAGTGTGGCTAAGGTGGTCCGACCTACTGGTGGCTGCGATGTGGATACTATGTAAGGAGCTGTGCTCCTCTCAGACACATGTAACTTAGAACTAACAACAACACAATCAACCGTTTTTGCTTCAACAAAACGGCACCATACACTCATCTACAGTCAGATTAGTCCCTGGAAGATAGAGCTCGTTTGACACCTTCTGTATAAGGTCAGACCACTCTTTAGCCGCTTGGAAGGTCTTTGGAAGATCGCTCTCATCCCTTATATCGACTTTGGTATAGTCAAAAGTGCGAAAATACCGGCTAATCAGCTGAAACTTCCGTAAAGGCATGAACTTGATAATTGAGTGAAGAGGGCGCTGATCTCCTAGGCTAGGTGCCTTCTAATGGTCCTTTATTGAGATTTCCCTATGAATTCCTAGGTAAATAACGACTCCAAGCCATACATAAGCCGTTGCAGAAGAGAGGCCTTCCCACTTAAGGATGCGTGAGTGTTCGGAAAGAGGGGTATTCCAGTTATCAATAACGCCGTTTTCTTGGAGGTAAGAGACCTAGCTGTTGGTGTATTTAATCCATGATTGTATAAGGGAAATAGGTATAAAAAGCTGGAATAATTGAAGGGGTTCCTTAGGTAGAGGGTTGATCTTGAAATCACGATATTCTAGCTTGAAAGGTTGAAAATGTTGAAGCAAAAACGGTTGATTGTGTTGTTGTTAGTTCTAAGTTACATGTGTCTGAGAGGAGCACAGCTCCTTACATAGTATCCACATCGCAGCCACCAGTAGGTCGGACCACCTTAGCCACACTGTCTCAACACTCCCACTCGAGCTGCTGTTGGGCTTGATGTGCACGCCTGTCGAGCCTCGTTAAAACCCCAAAAACACCTTCGTGGGTGAAAACTGCAGGGAAAGAGCTATCTCGACATGGGCGCTCAGGATCTCTTAATGGTCTCGTGCAATCTTGGAGCAGTGAGTCTTCTTCTGTCCGCAGAAGATCTCCCTCCAAGTTCATCTTTGCACCTTTCCTTTCAGTCCAGTGCGATCCTGAACTTGCGGGTCTTCTTCTTGTCCACAGAAGATCTCCTACTGACACCCATCTTTGCACGGTCTTGCAAGCTTTCTTGGGACTGCAGGTCTTCTTCTATCCACAGAAGATCTCCTGCCTCTGCCCGTCTCTGCAGGTCTTGCAATCTTTCTTTGGCATCGTAGGTCTTCTTCTATGCACAGAAGATCTCCCACTGAAGCCCATCTCTGCAGGTTTCGCAAGCTTTCTTGGGACTGCAGGTCTTCTTCTGTCCACAGAAGATCTCCTGCCTATGCCCATCTCTGCAGGTCTTGCGATCTTGGGGTTGCAGGTCTTCTATCCGCAGAAGGTATCCTGCCTACACTCGTCTCTGCAGGTCTTGAAATCTTTCTTAAAATCGCAGGTCTCCTGTCCATGATAGGTCTCCCACTTCAGTCCATCTTTGCACGTTCCTCACGCTCGGCACAACCTTGAGATCGTGGCTTTCCTTCTACTTGCTTAGAAGCTCTCCCACTCTAACTCACCTTTGCACCTTTTTCACGTTTCCGTGCAATCTTGGATCCGTGGGTCTCCTGTTTGTCCATGGCAGGTCTCCTGTTTTAGTTCATCTCTGCACCTTCTCATGGCCGTCGTTCTTTGAGACCTAGTGCTTTTCTAAACAGTAAGAAACGATCCTTTGGTAAAGCCTTTGTTAGGCCGTCGGCCACTTGTTTGCCTGTTGGAATGTACTGGAACTCAACGGTTCCATCATTGACTTTCTCTCTGCAGTAATGATGCTGAATATCAATGTGCTTAGTTCTTGTATGGAACTGGGGATTCTTCGACATCGCGATTGCTCCTTGGTTGTCCCCGAAGATTATAGTTGTCTTTAGTTCTGGGACCTCCTTGTATTCTTTCAACAGTTCTTGGAGCAGACCTCGCAGCCAGACTGCTTCTTTTGCGGCTGCGGTTTGCCCCATGTATTCTGCTTCGCATGAGGACAGGGCCACAGTTCTTTGTCTCTTCGAGCTCCAGCTGATAGCGCCCGTACCGAGGTTGAACATATATCCAGACGTTGACCTTCGAGTCTCCAGGTCTCCCGCCCAATCCGAGTCGGTGTAGCCGAGGAGAGGTTGCAGTCCTCCTTGGTACACTAGTTACAGATTTTGTGATCCCTTGAGGTATCGAAAGATACGCTTGACAGCTGTCTGATGCTCGTTGGTTGGGTTCGCTAGGTGTCGACTGCATAAGGAGACGGCAAAAGCGATGTCGGGTCTCGTCCCCAGCATGAGATACATCAGGGATCCGATCGCCTTGGCATACCACTCTTTGAGTTCGTCCGCTGCCTTGTAGCCCGAGTCTGGTTCTCCGAACTTGCTTGTCGAAACTGGTGTGGCATTGGGAGCGCACTGGTCCATTCCAAAGTCTCTAAGTACTTTCTCAAGGTAGGTCGTCTGTGACAAGAAGAGCGATCGGGTGGCTCTGTCTCTTCTTACGGACATGCCCAGGTAGTATTTGCATGGGCCCAGGTCCGTCATCTTGAACTTGTTGCACAGAGCTTGCTTGACCGCCACGATCTCGTCCTTGGAGGGCCCGGCAATAAGCAGATCGTCCACATATACCGCAATGAACATGTAGCCTTTCACAAAGACTCCCATATCTGAAAGTAAAGGCTTGAACCCGAGTGTCTTAAGGAAGGTTGAGAGAGTCTCGTACCACACCCTTGGTGCTTGCTTCAGTCCATACAAGGCTCTCAAGAGCTTGCAGACTCTCCCACTTCCATCGTCGAATCCTTCCGGTTGCTGGACGTATATCTCCTCATTTACAAGGCCATAGAGGAAGGCCGTCTTGACATCCATCTGTTCCAGTTCCAAATCAAGCGCTGCCGCAATGGCGAATATCATCTTGTAGCTCATCGGCTTGACAACAGAGGCGAAGGTTTCGTTGAAGTCAATTCCTTCCCTCTGCTCGAATCCTCTCACGACAAATCGCGCCTTGTACCGTAGAACTTGCCCATTTTCTCCTCTTTTGAGCTTGAACACCCATTTGCCTCGAAGGGCCTTTCGTCCTGGGGGAAGCGTGACTAAGGTCCAGACACCGTTTTCAACCAGAGATCCGTGTTCATCCTTCAGTCCTCCCCACCAGAGTTTTCCATGTACACCCTGCGTGGCTTCCCTAAAGGTTCTTGGTTCGGACTGATCGATGTCGCGAGCGACTAGGTACAGTTGTTCTGCAACTGTTGCTAGGAAGGCGAAGTTCGTGCTGGCCAGTATGTACCTCGACGGCAGCTGTCCCCTGGTCGATCTTTCGGGCAGCCGAGACTCTGCATGCTCCTCTGTTTCTTCCGACGGCACTTCACGCTCGTCTGTGGCAACATGGATACTCGATCTGGTTGACTCTTGGTCTGGATCCCATCCTGTATCTCCCACTGGGGGCTCATCCGGCGTCGTCTCTCCACGACCGGTTTCCCCGCTTCTGTTCGCCTCTCTCGACGCGATCGGAAGGGGCGACGGCTCTAGAACGATGGCATTTTCCGCATCGCTATCCTCTTCTCCGACTACTCGTCGTCGTTGCGATGGTCTCTGGTCACTTATCTGATGCGT